GGCAAAAGGTGGGATCGAACCCGGGTCGATCGCCTCAAAAAGATGGTGACACACGATTATCCATCTGCACCACTGGAGCTGATGTTTCACAATCACATTTTACTAAATGTAAATATACACCCTGTATTTTTTATTCCATAGCAAGGGCAATTCATACAATACATTTAAACTGAGCTACTTTAATACCATCTCCGAACTTTCTACCAGGACTCTGCTGTTCTTCGGCTGGTTCCTCTTGTATACGTTGATTGACAGATGTCTCGTCCAGTCAGCGGTGAGTAATCCCAAACCAATGGCGCTGTCTCAAACTATACCTACCTTTTCCGGTTTGTCTGATTTGTTGTTGTGTTTTCTGACTTGTTAATTTGTTTTCAGATTTGTCGTTGTGTTTTCTGACTTGTTATTTTGTTTTTGAATTTGTCATTGTGTTTTCTGACTTGTTATAATGTTTTCTGAATTGTTGTTGTGTTTTCTGAATTGTTAATTAGTTTTTTAGACTTGCATTTGCCTTTGTAATTTGTTCTTTTGTTTTCAGAATTGTGATTTGTTCTGCACTTCTCGGCCACCGTACTTTTGAGCTCAAATAAACTCACCACTTTGTTCTCGTCTCCTCAGAACATTCTGGAATTCCACATATTTGATGCTGACAAGTTAACGAAAGATGACTACTTCTCCACCATCCTATTTGACATCAATAACCTCACACCTGGACAAAAGCAAACAAAATGCTTCATTACAGATGATAAGGTAGGTATATCATTTGATGATGAAACTATAATTGTATTTTATTTTTACAAAGTCTTTGAAGTGGAAGTATTCTGTGTCCATTACTTTAAATCAGTGTATGAAAGAAAAGCATTACAAATAGATTTAGTCCCATCCGTCTTTTTGATTGTCATGCACTTTTTTTCCAGAAAAAGAGTGAGCTGTGGGTGGAGTTTGAGGTGACTGTGAGGTGAATGAGAATGTTAACGATCGAAAGCAGTAATAGTGCATTAACCACGTCTTCTTCTTTATGAAAAAATCATTTCTATTACATCAGTCTGAACTAATCTGTCATTTTATCTGTTCGTTTTCTTTTTCAAGCTCTGAGAAGCCTGAACCATACTTCTCTAATGGAGTGCTGATGGTAAGAACATTGTTATGACTGTATATTTTACACATACTTCAGCAGCGCATAAAACATAACTGTTCTTTGGAAATCTTTGTTGAACTAAGTGGCACTCTGAATTTTTCTGCTCATTTTTAGGCAGGTCCATTCTGTGCACTGGATGTGAAGGTGGAAAAACGTCTACGGTCTAATGGTAAATAGAAGAACACTGGGTTATTTCTGGGTTTAGATCCGTACATCTCTACTTTTAACAAACCTCAATCAGATATTTAAATATATATGAGGCTGTATAATAGCCACTGAAAGCTTGAGAAAATTGTATTTGTAAAAATTGTATTTTAAGTGATAATTCTATTCCATAAGTATAATTAACAGTCAAATTCTACAATAAAAATAAAAGTTTTAGGTTTTATAAATATGACATTGTTAATTTTTATGGTGCTGCATTAAGAACAGTGCCAAAATGATGTGAAATTTTCCTCTGTTTACCTCAGTGGAGAAGGACATGATGTTAAAACTGCGAGGCGCTTATAAGGAAGACTGTTTGATCCAAGGCTCTGAGGAAAACCCCAGCTGCACACAGACCATTCGCTACTACATCAACCGAGACCTGGAGACTGAGTTTAGTCTCATCCCACCAAAAGTGTGAAATTGATTAAACTGGTGATTTCTTACCAAATCAATTTATCAAGCATGTATATCACTAACAGAGAGTGTATAATGCTTGTTTATGTGTTTGCATGTTTGTTGTTTGTTCAGGCTGGGGAAGAAGTGGACAGGATAAATACAAAGATCGCAGACATTCTGTCATCGGTCCCTATGAAACCATTACCAGCCAAACAGCAGATTAAGCTCACCATGCCCATTGGAAAGGTGGGTACTGGTAAACTCAATTGGAAGACATGTATTTTGTCAATGTTTCAAAAAGAACAGCTAAATAACTGCAACTCTTTTAGGATGAAGTGGATCTGCAACTAAGCACAGAGGGCCGGTAAATAATTTGAATGGCTTATCTCTAATTAGTTCAGGAACAGTTTAAAGAAAGTGCTTTGGCATGTAATCCATAAACCAAACCTGAATGATTTTAACTGTGTAATTGATTATAGTTAAATGAGACAAAGCACTGTAAACCACCAACATTTCCTCAACTGGTTTCAATCTGATTCCTTTAATCTCTCAGAATAATCGTGTGTGTGTGTGTGTGTGTGTGTGTGTGTGTGTGTTTTGAAGCTCTGATGAAAAGTTGGATGTGCGTCTGGATTTTGATATTTCAATGGAAGAAAATAATTTTCTGGTCAAAAGACGAAAAGTCGTGTCACAAGCTCTTCAGAAAGCTTTGAATCTCAGCTCTGCACCTGAACCCAGCAAGGCAAGAAAACAAACACAAACTTGAGTATAAACACATTCAACAGACACACACTTCCTGGCAGAGTCACCTGACATGCAGTTTTACTATTGTTCCCATCCATTTTAATTTAATT